TTTTGTCGTATCAATCAGATCCCAAAAAAGATACTTAGTGTAATTTCACGACTAGGATCTGAATTGAAAATTCAAATAATAATATTTTTTGATTACGTACCGAGAGGATGAGTCCCATGTCCATGCTAATGAAGGCAACACCAAAGAAAGCAACCATACAAATCAAGAAATCAAATTTGTCAGTCTTGTAAAGGTGAACAGCCTTTTCATAGTCCATTAACCCAATCATAGCTGACATAATGATAGCAGCCAAGGCAACAAGTGGTGTGTAGCCAAAAAGTGGTGCCAAAAACAATAAAGTTAGCAACATGCACAATGACATAACTACATTTGACATTTGGCTCTTGCATCCAGCATTGTAGTTCACTGCTGTTTTTGAAAATGGCCCTAATAAAAAAATACGAAAAAAATCATTAGTACATGTTTACGTTATACTGTCAGTGTATAAAAGTTAAATTAATTACCTGTACTTAAGTAGCAAGAAGTTAAAGAGCCAACAATATTCATGAGTCCAATGGCTACCATCTCTTTGTTACCATCAATTTGTTCATTATCCATGATAGCAAAACTCCTCCCAATAGCTATCCCTTCCTATAAATATTACAAAAAAAATAATTGAATAACATCAACAATATACTCTATGTAATATTCTCACACGTAAAATCTGGGGAGGATAGTGTATAATGTCTATATATGCATACTAATGTTGTTTTCGATTGAGCAATTTGGAAAGAGAAAATAAAAAGTGCATAAATAACAGTAACAACGATAAAATAATATGATAACGAAGCACAAGAAATAACAGAATTAATCGAAGAATAAAAAACTACGAGAGTAATTAAAATGTACTTACTGCTATTGCAATCATAGCTGTAATGATCCCAGCTTTTACAACAGCAGGTAGATATTCTGGACTAAAATTTATAAGATGAATGGAGGATGGATTAATTCCTTTATTCAATTTTCCCACCTGCATTGAGTTCAAAAAAATAATAAATTAATTTTGTAAAATCAAATATAAGAAAACATATGGTAAAAATGATATAAATTTTTAACTTGAAATGACTCATCAAACTCGAGTTAGAATAGGTCAAAATAGTGTAAGCTGACATGTCAATATGACATTATTTTATAATTCATTCCACATGAAAAATCGTCTAGCTAGGGAACTCTTCATCTGACACTTTCTCATAAGATTATTTTCGCGAAATTGATCATATTTAATAAAAATATCCAATTTTTTTTTTTTATAAAAAAAAGAGGGCAATTTAACTTACAATAGCTATGCCATGTTTCTCAGCATTGAAAAAATATGCAAAAAGGCAGCCAACTACAACAACAAGTATTGGAGAAATGGCTGAAACCCAAAATAGATTTGGTTTCTTCTTTCTCTGCAAATTAAAAAAAAAAATTGTTAATTTAAATAAAAAAAATTACACTGTCAATGTATATAAATTAAAATATCGTATAAAAAAAACTTACCACATATCTAGATAATTGTAGGAAAGCAAGGAAGATTACTCCAACAACTGCACACTGCCATGTCCACTGGGTTTTTTTTATATATAAATAGAACGAAAAAAAATATCAAGTTAGTATCTTTGTGTGATATATAGGTTACGAGCTTGTACCATAAAAATAACCATTTATGTTTGCATTAGGGTACTGTCTAATCACACCCCTTGAAGTGCAGTCGTTCAATTCCTTGAATTCTATATGAACGTAAATACTTTGTGCACCAGACTATAAAATGATCACTTTATCAAATTAATTAAAATTAACTAACCTCTTTTCTATTTTCAATAACAGCACGTAAAACATGATAAACATCAGTACGACTAGTGAAATGCTTTAAGCCAAGCATGCCTTTCAATTGTTGTAAGCAAATAATTAATGCTGTCCCTCCCATAAATCCAGTAATTGTTGAATGTGATAGAAAATCCACCAAAAATCCAAGCCTACATCACACACACACAAAAAATAAATTAATTCATTCGATGTTCGATACTCATTTTGATATTTCAAATTCGCACCCCAAAAGACTCATTATAGGGGTAACATTTTAGTGATCAAAAAATTATATTGCTCAGACTCTTAAAATAAGTTATTGCTTTCATGTCGAATCCTCCAAAAACAAAATGTATTATTTTTGGTTGATTCAACATGCAATCATTGACATATTAGAAGATTTTTTGAAAATACAATATTTTTTTTTTAACTGTCAGTATATAAAAGTTAAACGACTGGTATGTATAATTACCTTAGTACCCCCAAAGCTGTTTGTAGCAAACCAGATATAAGGGCAGCTGTGTAAAACAAACCAACATATAATTCCATATTGTCTTCAGGCTTAACTTTATGTTGAACTGCTTCAGCAATAATCAATGAACAAGTTGCTACTGTTCCAACAGCAAGATGTTTTGAACTCCCAAAAATAGCATAAATTAGAGGGGGAACAAAACTTGAATCTGCAAAAAAATTAATAATTTGTCATAACAAGTTAGTCATGTTACTTATTTAAAAATATTTACACAATCAGATCACTTATTGACTAATTATAGCTACGCCTCTCGCGTAATGTGCTATAAAAAGTTTAATGTACAAAGTATTACTCCCTCCGTCTGAAAAAAAGATTGTCTTGATCTAAAATACGAGGGTCAAATTAACTAATATTCAGTGTGAATTCAGATATAGAATCTTTAATTTTTTTAAAAATAAAATTTTACATATTTAGAATAAACATAAAAAGTAATATAAGTTACAATAGTTAACAGTTCAAAATCTTTTTAAAAATATGTTGGTTTTGACTGTTCAAATAGTAATATACTGTTAGTGTATGTAACTTACAGAGTCCGATAATGGGAGGAAGTTCAGCAAGTTTTGCATAACTTATTCCTTGTGGGATTGCAAGACTAGCAATTGTAATTCCAGCAAGAAGATCATACATAAATAACCCAAACTTGTATTTTGGTAACCATTGACAAATTGGTACAAAATATTGAATTCCCTTTAAAATTCTTTTTGATAATTTTTCATTCTTGAATTCATGAAATGGATCATCTGGAAATAGTGTTTCTTTGAGATTTGCTTTAAGAACTGTCTTAAAGCTTCGTGGTGGTGCATAGTTCACTCCATGTAAAGACTTTGGAGAACTCATGATTATAAGAAAGTTGTTAATTAATTAGTATGTGTAATAATGTGACAAGTTATATGTGGAAGTGGAATGTCTTATATAGTGTATCGATTCATCTGAATCTATTACTTTTTTGATCTAGGGTAAAAAATATAATGCTAGAAAAAATGAAACTAATCTAGACTTTGTAAAAGCACATAAATATACGCATCTATGTAAAATCATTTTACCCTAAAATTTAATTCAACACCACAAAGAAAGAGAGAAAAAAGCAGAAATAAACTACAAAATTCATCTTTAATTAAGGTTTAAGGTTTTGCATCATATAACTAATTAAGATTCAGATAATTCATATATAAAACTTTCATCTTTAATTAAGGTTTAAGGTTTTGCATCATATAACTAATCAAGATTCTCATATTAATATAGACAATTCATATATAACAAATGTATTTATTATCGCTAAATGTTATTTTTTTTTGTTATAGTGCATCGATGTGCTTTTTCATGAATAGGGAAAAGATATATATAAATATGAGGGTTTTATTCATTTGGTGCATAAAATAAAATAAAGTGAGATAATTCAGAATTACGTTCGAAATTAAATTTGTACTTTATTTAGTTGAAGATATAGCTAAATCTAGGATAAAATTTATACTTCAAATTTTGTGTTATTTTATCTCACCTCAAAGAAGAATATTGTTATAAATTTTTTAAAACCGTTAGAAAACGATAAAATGTAACATAAAAAGTCAGTTCCGAGAATATATTTTTTTTAACTCTAGTTGTTGTTTTTGTATGATATTTATTCTCTCACGTTTGAAAATACCAACAACAATTCCTATTTTCAGAATCAATATATCTTTTAAAATACCCATAACTTTTGAATATTGTTATTCTAGATAAGCAAATAACAAAAAAGTTAAACGTGAATTTCTGACGAAATCCATCAAAAAATTGGCTTCTTTGAGACATTTTGACAGAATTTTCATTGAAAATTTCATATTTCTGACAACATTTCTTCAAGCACACCAATTACTTCTCTCCTTCTCTCTCCGTATAAATAGATTTAAGGGTAAAGCTACCTACACACCATTCTCGTCCGACGCTGCTTTTGAAATTATCTAGAGATGTTGTTATCTCAAATTTTAGTCTCCACTTTGTTATAAGCTTTTTTTCTTCTTCTTATAACACTAAACAATTGTCATTATTAACGGTAGTTTCTTTGTGAAATTATCTCTTTACAATAATAACCTAATGCAAATATCTATCTATGTATTTATTATTTATAACAACCAAAAAGCAATTAGTAAAATATATTGTATTAGAAACATAACTTTAGCACTAATTGAAACATAAGAAAAACTATTGTGAACCTGGAATATGAGAAATTTAAAATGTACACACTTTCTATTCTCTCATTTTTTTAAATTATCTTTTATGCAATAAAAAGTTGAAAAACAAAAATTTGGGGTAGTCTTTTTTTTTTTAATCGAAAGTAAACAAAGCCACTATCATATATATAGAAAGACAAACTAATGTGCTGATTTTCTATCGAGCAAAGGCCACAAACATAAATAATTTATTTTTTGGCTAATATGAAAAGACGTGCTAAAAAATATAGTTATTCTTCTCATAGACTTCAGTCATATAGCTTATAAACTCTATCAAGAAGTTTATTTATACCAAAAAAGAAAAGAAAAGAACAAGATAATAAAACTATTGAAAATCAAAGTTACAAAATCTATTCTAACAAACAAACGGAAGAAAGGTAGAAAAACATTAAAAAAAAAAAGAAAAAAAGAGTTCAATTGGCAGAAATTAAAACTATTTTTTTCCCTCCTTTTGTAAATAAAATATTGCATAATGAATTTGTTTGTAGACTAAGCAATTTCCACATCTTCTCTTTTTGTCTGACTTGAAGAATTTAGTGAAAATCTGCAACTTTCAATTGCTTCTTCAATTGTTAAAAACACTGACTCTTTCCCAATCACATCAATAAATCTTGTCACAATTAATTTTTCCATCACCCCTAATCTTGGATTAACCAATATAATCTATACAAAAAAAAAAAAGCATGTTAGAAAGTTTGTGAATTTCCAACACTATATAATCTCCTTTCAGAACTTTTACTTGTTACGTTTTGCTACACGAGATAGTCAGTTGTTTAATTGATGTTTGAAAATTATACGAAAATATTGTAAGTTGTAATCCTTTTCATGTTAAAAAATACTTCTTCAAAATCTTGGTAAAAGTAGATGTAATTTGACTCTCGAGAAGCAAACGTAAAAGGAGTAAATAATAATGAGAAAGTGTATGATTATTCATACCTTGATGGATTTTGCTGCTAGTGATCTACGAGTTTCAAATAAAGTTTCAACACCAGTTATGTCAATTGATGTAACACCTACAATATTGTCATTAAAATTTTCTTTGATTTAGTAACATATTGAAAAATAAATAAATAAAATAAAATTCTGAAAGACCTTTTATTAAGTTTCTCTTTTAAATAACTATACCTTTTATTTGTTAAGTAGTCATAACTCAAATAAATAATTTTAAGCTCATAAATCATACCTCCAAAATCAAGTATCAAGTATTCAATCTCATTTCTTTTGGAATTTTCAAGAGATTGCTCATCTCTAACCCATCTGAGAATCCTGCTCAATATATCCATCAAAAATAGCATCTTACCATTAGAAAAATAATTAAAACTTTGGAAATTCATAAAGATGTTCAAAGTCGGATCTCTCTATAATGATCATATGTTATAATAATATTTTATCATAACGGTCAAGTTTTTTTTTATATCAAGTTTTTCATATTATGTTATAGCATCGACATAATATATATAGAGACACTCAAACTTGCAACTGACAAGTAAACACATCAACTTTAGGGATGCATATCTAGCTACCATATATATGTGTGGGAATAACCACTGAGCATTTTCCGGTGGGAAATTTCAATGGGAAAATAATGACTTTTAGTAGTGACCGCTGACGTGATACATAAATTTTAGAGGTGTCTAGACGATTATTTTATAAGTTGGAGTGTTCAACAGACATGATGAAAACGAACTTAGGTGTCTAGATCTGCATCATCAAAGACGGAAGGTTTAGTTTTCAGTTGATGCCAAGTTAAGATGCCTATGATCTATATAGTATATGCCTCTATATTATAAATGGTGAATAGCAATTTGCCCTATAACGACGTTATTACAGAGAGATTTCTTACCTTTCTCTAACATAATTGCTATTAGGGAAGTAAATTGGAGAACCAAGCTTCAAAATCAACATTCCTGGAGTTTGTTTAGAACCAGGATATTGTTCTACGTCACGAAATGCAGTATTTGTAATGGTTCCAAGTTTGCAAGTAGGTGGCCTAGCAACATATAGAAGTGCCCTTACCAAGGCAAGTCCAACCTACAAAAAAAGTAATCATATATCGAGTAAGCGTAAGTTTTTACCATGTTTAATATGATAAAAGTCATTTTCACTAAATATATATTCCTAAAAAATAGTTTGATGGACAAGAAAAAGAACTAAATAGTGTTTTGAAGAATGTGGAACTATAGAAACATTTTGTAAAATTTAAAGCTCACGATAATGACTACTTTTCAATCAGAAGGACTAAAACACGGTTATTTATGAATTTTACCTAGTAATTTCTTTCCATTTGATGAGAAGTGTTTTTCTTATGGTCAATCACTAGAAAATGACTTTTGTTGTATCAATCAGATCCCAAGTAATAACAATAAGAAGAAGATACTTAATGTAGTTTCACGACTGGGGTCTGAACAAAATTCTGAATAATAATAATAATATTTTTTTGCTTACGTACCGACATCATGAGTCCCATGTCCATGCTAATGAAGGCAACACCAAAGAAAGCAGCCATACAAATCAAGAAATCAAATTTGTCAGTCTTGTAGAGGTGATATGCCTTCTCATAGTCAATTAACCCAAGCATTGCTGACATGATGATAGCAGCCAAGGCAACAAGTGGTGTGTAGCCAAAAAGTGGAGCCAAAAACAATAAAGTTAGCAACATGCACAATGACATAACTACATTTGACATTTGGCTCCTGCATCCAGCATTGTGGTTCACTGCTGTTTTTGAAAATGGCCCTAATAAAAAAATATGAAAAAATCATTAGTAGATGTTTACGGTATACTATCAGTGTATAAAAAAGTTAAAGAAACTACTTACTAACTAGGGACATATATGTTAGTCGTAAGTGATAGTTTTGGTTCATTAGAACACAATAACTTTGACTTAAACCTTGTATTAGTGTTGAAATATTTATTTTAATATGTATAAATGATCTATCGAGAAGTTAGTAAACAAAAAGATGTGATCCAGATTCCATAAACTAAAAATTCTGACTCAACCTCTGTGAGATGCTAACTCTCACTCGCTTCTTAGTAGGAAGTGTAATTTATTTGTCGCGAGAGACAGATCCAAGATTTAAACTTTATGAGTTCCAAATAAAATTTTTGAATAGATGAGTTCAGAATTTAATATTTGATTTATAACAAAGAAATTAATTACCTGTACTTAAGTAGCAAGAAGTTAAAGAGCCAACAATATTCATGAGTCCAATGGCTACCATCTCTTTGTTGCCATCAATTTGTTCATTATCCATCATAGAGAAACTCCTTCCAATAGCTATTCCTTCCTATAAAATATCCCATTGCAAAAAACAAAAATAATAATTGAATAACATCAACAACATACTCGATGTAATATTCTCACACGTAAATCTAGAAAGGATAATGTATAACGTATATGCATACTAATGTTGTTTTCGATAGAGCAATTTGGAAAGAGAAAATCAAAAGTGCATAAAAAGCGAGAATAATTAAAATGTACTTACTGCTAGTGAAACCATAGCTGTAACGATCCCAGCTTTTAAAACAACAGATATATATTCTGGACTAAAATTTATAAGATTAAGAGAGGGTGGATTAATTCCTTTACTCAATTTTCCCACCTGCATTGAGTTTTAAAAAAAAATTAAAATTAAAATCAAATATAAGATAACATATGGTAAAGAAGTTCTAAATTTTAAACTCGAAATGACTCATGTCAATATGTCATGCTATTATTTTATAAGTCATTTCACATGAAAAATCGTCTAGCTAGGGAACTCTTCATCAGACAATTTCTCATATGATTATTTTTCGCGATCATATTTAATAAAAATATCCAAAATGAATTTTTTTTTTTTTTAAAAAGAGAGGGCAATTTAACTTACAATAGCTATGCCATGTTTTTCAGCATTGAATAAATAAGCAAAAAGGCAGCCAACTACAACAACAATTATTGGAGCAATGGCTGAAACCCAAAATAGATTTGGTTTCTTTTTTCTCTGCAAAAAAAATATTTTTTTTGGTTAATTTAAAATTATTTTTTATACTGTCAGTATATATAAATTAAAATATCGTATAAAAAAACTTACCACATATCTAGATAATTGTAAGAAAGTAAGGAAGATTACTCCAACAACTGCACACTGCCATGTCCACTGTTTATATATAAATAGAAAATAGAAAAAAAAATCAAGTCAGTATCAAAGCAAAAAAAAATTAAAATAAATAAATCACATTGGTAAAAAAAAAAAAATAGAATCTTTTTGTGTGTGAAATTTGGCTTAATACATTTTTAATTTTTCCTTATATATTGAACATGGTCTGATTTACGCAAATATCCTCTTTTAGGTCATCATTTAAATTTATTTATTCTTATTTAGAAAGTTATGCAAATATAGTCTTTGTAATTGACAAAATATTAGACTGTCTTTTAACGTCTAAACTATTTTATAATGTGATCTAAAGTTCTTTTCGTAAGATTTTTAATTTGCTCAAAAGAAATCTTTAGACCGTCATGACCTAAAAGGTCCATAAATTACAAGGCAAGTAAAAAGAGAGTCATTTACTAAACAGCCGAACACAAAAAGAAATAACGGACCAAAATTTCGATCCTACATAGAATTAATTTAGTTAAATACTCTATGAAATTTGTCTTTGTGTGACGTATAGTTTATGGACACGAACCATAAAAGCAAACACTAATGTTTGTATTAGGGTGGACTGTCTAATCACACACCTTGAAGTGCGATTATTCCTCGAACCCTACGTGAACGTAGAATATTTTGTGCACCAAACTATTTTTTACTCTATAAAATTAACTAACCTCTTTTCTGTTTTCAAAAACAGCACGTAAAACATGAACAACATCAGTATGGCTAGTGAAATGCTTCAAGCCAAGCATGCCCTTCAATTGTTGTAGGCAAATAACAAGTGCTGTCCCTCCCATAAATCCAGTAATTGTTGAATGTGATAGAAAATCAACCAAAAATCCAAGCCTACATCACACACACACACCAAAAAAAAAAAAAAAAAAACTAATTAGATGATAGATGTAAATAATTTTTCCATTCGATGGTTGATACTCGTTCTGAGATTTCAAATAATTTGAATTCACGCCCCAAAAGGCTCATTAGAGGAGTATATGTTCCCTATCAAGATTTATGATCTCTACTGAAGGCTCAAGACCTCTGGTTAAGGATGGATAATAGGACAACCGTAAAATTGAAGTGTGTAGTTGGAAATGCGAATATAAGTTAGGGGGCATTTGACCATTTTCTCTATTATTTTTGGTTGATTCAACACGCAATCATTGACATATTCGAAGAGTCCAATCAACATAATTTTAATATACAATTTTTTTTTCTATTTGTCAGTATATAAAAGTTAAACGACTGGTTTGGTGTGTATAATTACCTGAATACCCCCAAAGCTGTTTGTAGCAAACCAGATATAAGGGTGGCTGTGTAGAACAAACCAACATACAATTGCATATTGTCTTCAGGCTTAACTTTTTGTTGAATTGATTCAGCCATAATCAATGAACAAGTTGCCACTGTTCCAACAGCAAGATGTTTTGAACTCCCAAAAATTGCATAAATTAGAGGAGGAACAAAACTTGAATCTGCAAAAAAAATCATTTATATAAATTAAGTAACCAATTAATCAATAATTTGTATTAAAAATCTATAAATATTTTACTGTGAACCAAGTTATTATTGTATAATAACGTTAAATCAATGTAGGTACCCCATATACTTTAAATTCTCGATCAATCTCTACTGGATGAAAAACTATTTATTTTTCTTCTTCAATTCATATATACCTCTATCTAATAAAATTGATGAGTAATCGATAATAAGTAGTACGTAATGTGCTATAAAAAGTTTAAGTTACACAAATAATGTACAAAATATTACTCCCTCCGTTCAAAAAAGATTGTCGAGGGTCAAATTAACTAATATTATATTCCGTGTGAATTCAGACATAGAATCTGTTTAAAATAAATATACATATTTAGAATAAATATAAAAAGTACTAATATAAGTCAAACTAGTCAACAATTCAAAATATTACAAAATCTTAAAAAATATATATGCTTTTGACCGTTTAAATAGTAACTAAGACCATTTTTTTTTTTTTTTGGTAAGGAGGGAGTAGTAATAATTAATAAACATGAACGAGTATATACTGTCAGTGTATGTAACTTACAGAGTCCGATAATTGGAGGAAGTTCAGCAAGTTTTGCATAGCTTATTCCTTGTGGGATTGCAAGACTAGCAATTGTAATTCCAGCAAGAAGATCAAACTTAAATAGCCCAAAATTGTATTTTGGTAACCATTGACAAATTGGTACAAAATATTGAATTCCCTTTAAAATTCTTTTTGATAATTTTTCATTCTTGAATTCATAAAATGGATCATCTGGAAATAGTGTTTCTTTCAAATTTGCTTTAAGAACTGTCCCAAAGCTACGTGGTGGTGCAAAGTTCACTCCATGTAAAGACTTTGGAGAACCCATTATAAGTGGCTATTTCTGCAAAGAAAAAAAAATTAATTTTTTTTTAGGGGGAATTTGATTAGCATGAGGAGTTTATGCATGTATTTATAGAAGAATAAAAGGATTGTTATAGTAGGTAATATGTGTACACTGTTGTCTGTTGACTTGACACACTCCTTAAGAAACAATAAATAATAGGGCTTAATATTACTATATTATCCTTTGACTTTATTAAATTTAATGTTCTGAGAAATGTGTTAGATGATAAAAAGTATTTAATAGCAAGGTTAAAATTGACACAAATGGTAAATTATCACTTGATTTTCTAAATTGGACAAATATTATTGAACAACTGTTTTTAGTATAATGGACAACTATTGTTAAACGAAGAGTGTATTTGTTAATCTCAATTTTTATAACTGGCTATTTTTGCAAAAGAAAGAAAGAAGAAATTTGTTTAGCATGTAATATGACTAGCTAGTTACATGTAGAAGCGGAATGGAGTATATAATAAATTAATTCATCCAATGACAATTAACTGATATCGGAAATATTTTAACAGTTTTTAATAATGTGTATATTTATTGCCGCTAAATGTTATTTTTGTTGTAGTGCATCGATGTGCTTTTTTTCATGAATAAGGAAAAGATATAAATGAGGTACGGGGGTCGGTCATTTGGTGCATAAAATAAGGTGAGATAATTCAGAATTACGTTTGAAAGTAAATTTATACTTTATTTAGCGAAAGATATAGCTAAATTCAGGATAAAATTTATAATTCAAACTTTGTGTTATTTCATCCCAACGCAAAGATGAATGTTATTGTTATAGATTTAAAAAATTGTTAAAAAACAATAAAAATATAACATAAAAAAGTCAGTTCCGACAAAAAAAAATTAACTTTTGTTGTTGTTTTTGTATGATCTTTATTTTCTCATATTTGAAAATACCAACAACAATTCCTATTTTTTAGAATCATTATATCTTTTAAAATATCAATAACTTTTGAATATTGTCATACTAAATAAATAAATAACAAAAAAGTTACACGTGAAAATCCATAAAAAAAAATTGACTTTGTTGGAGACATTTGCGACAGAATTTCCATAAAAAAAATTCATATTTCTGACAATATTCCCACAAGAATAGCCCTCGAAAATTTGCGTGTTTCAGTAATGCAAAAAAAAAAAACTTTTAAAATATCAATAACTTTTGAATATTTTTATAATACATAAGCAAATAACAAAAAAGTTACACGCGAATTCTCGATGAAATCCATCAAGAAATTGGCTCCTCAGAGACATTTCCGACAGAATTTTCATCGAAAATTTCATATTTCTGACAACATTCCAAGAAGAACATTCCTCAAAAATTTGCGTGTTTAAAATAAAGAGTATTATTGTAATCATAATTCATTTGCAGAAAATAATGATATGAATAAATACCAGGATTAATGTTGGCTCTTTGTACTTGTGTAGCAGATGTTGGAGATTAAAAGAAGATATATGATTAATTATAAATTAACATGAATAATAAGATAATTAAGGATAGAATTTGAGAATGTCCCAGTGTTCTGGGACACTCTATATAATACGTAACTAATTATAAATTGAAGATAACAATTGATTAATTCACAAGTGAAACATTGCTAATTAAAGAGGAATTACTGGTCAAGATAAGGGGGAAAATGCTATAAATCGGGATAAACAATCATTTAGTTCTATCACTAATTATAAGTCAAATAAAGATTAAATGTTAATAGATAAAGATAAACCAACGACAATGGATTATAAGAATCTAAGAATTGCTTTAACATAATTAATCACAATAATTTAACTAATGTAAAAGAATTTTTATACTATCAAGTCATTTAGAATATAATAAGTAAATTTTAAGAATAGCAAAGATAAAAATCATATTAGCAAACTATAGCTACAGTTTTGCCTTTTGCGCTCCATAGCCAAATTATGTTGGGAAAAATAACAAATATACCTGCGAACTATCGTAAATGGTATGCAGATACCCTCCATCATATTTTTGGGACATTGGTGCCCCTGCCGTTTAAAAACTAGAGCATATATATATACCCTATATACTAATGGACATACACGTGTCATAATCTTATCCACAGATCCGACATCTATTAAATATCGGATCGACGGATAAGATTGTGCCACGTGTCCGTATTTAGTCTTCCGTTAGAGTGAAGGGCATATATGCTCTAGTTTTTGGACGGCAGGAGCACCAATGTCCCGAAAGTATGACAGAGGGTATCTGCATACCATGTACAATAGTTTGAAGGTATATTTGTCCTTTTTCCCAATTATGTTTGCCATGGAGCATCTGATTTGTATAAATCACGGCGATTTATATAAATCGGGAGTCTTTGTCTATGAAAATTGTGTTTGTACATGTATATGTTCTCTGTGTTAGGCTAGATTGGCGAGCAAGATTAGGAGAGAGGTGAGAAAGGCAAGCGAGAGAGGGCAGAGAGTGGAGAGAGGTGAATTGTATATGTATATCGGTTAGATAATTATATATATGTAACATATATATGTATCAATGATTGTGTTTGTATATCTGCATAAAATTTGAATTCATATACAATTGAATCGAGTTAAATTAAACATTTGTATTTGTATATCAAATCTCTCTTTCTCTTTATACAAACACAAATTATACATTGTATTTGTATAAAAATTAAGAGAGAATAAGAGAGTTTAAGAAGAGAGAACAATTTTGTATTTTCATAATTGTACAATGAGTTGATTGATTACAAGTTGAGTGATTGAAATCTACCACTATTCACTAATCTAACAGAAATCAGTAGTTATAATTGTCTTACTGTTCATCTAATAGAATTAACTACTTTCTCGAATCCTAAATCTAAATCTAAGGGTGTGTTTGGTATAAAGTTTTCCAATTTTTCCATGTTTGGCTTGACTTAAATGTTTTTCAAATCAACTCATTTCCTCAAATTTAAGAAAAAGTCATTCCCTTCAAAAATTAAGGAAAATATTTTTCAAAACTCTACTTCATCCTTCAATATTTTTTTCTTACCCTACCTCGTACGCCATACCCGACCCTCCCCATCCAAAAAATATCAAAATTTTAAATTTTCTTATTTAAATTTCAAAAATATTTTTATTCCTACCTCCAAACGACCCCCCCCCCCGGCACCTCCACCCAGTCATATTATTTTTTTTAAAAATCTTTGGAAAATGGTTCAAATTTAAATTATTTTCATTTCTTACTACACCTCTCAACCCCACCCCCGGCCTGCCAACCCCTACCCAGGCCACCCGTCAAAAAAATTATTTTTTAAATATTTTTTGGAAATTATTTTAAATTTTAAAAATAAAAATATTTTTACGCCACCCTCTACCCCCTAGGTCACCTCGTAATTTTACTTTTTTAAAAAAAGTAGTGTTTGGAAAAAAATTCAAATTTTAAAAAAATTCCTTTTTACCCCCCCCCCCCAATCCAGGCCACCCCATCAAAAAAAATTGAAAATTTTTAAATTTACATGAATTCATGACAACCTCCAACCCAAATATATAAAATTAAAATTAAAAATACTAAATCGAAAGACAATTGAAAATTCATCGCCAACATTATAACCACACAAATAAAATTGCTTAAATATATAGTTGGAGAGGAAAATTAAAATGAAAAGTACCTTCAAATGATGGTGTGAACAAATAAGCATCACTTGCCACAAAAATAGAAAAAACTTAAAAATTGTAGATTAGACAATTCTTCTCAAACATTTTTCACTATAAATAGGTAACTAATAATAGCATTTTGTAGATGAATTAGTTACTGAATTTAATACTCTCTTGACTTTATATTAGTTGTTCACACTTCATCCTCATTTACACCTTTAGTTTTACTTATTTACCTTCTGATTATTTTTTATTTTAAAAAATTACACTTTTAAAAATTATTAATTGTTAAGATAAAATAAAAAAATTAGTTTCATCTTGATTTTGTAAATTGAAAAATAATTTAAGACAACTATTTTTATAAGACAAACAAGTAATATGAAACGGAAGGAAAACTCCACGCTAATGTCTTTTTATTTACCTCATTCATTTATAATATTATTATTTATTGATATATATTAAACTTTATGGTACAAAATATAATAGAAATAGGATCGATAAGCTAAGGATAATATGATGGTTTAATTTTTAATGGGTGTTTTTGTAATTTAATTTTGCACTTGGAGTAAATATAATGATGATAATCTTATTTTTATCTTTTACCCAACTCCTTCTATAAATACTTTCATTTCATACTTAAGTTTTCTGCTCTACTTGTGCATGCTTACATTTTTACTTTTATCCTAATACGAATTTAAGAAAGTAAAAAAGATAATTTAAATCTTAAAATCTTACTTAAAATAAGATTATTTACCTTCTAAAATAGTGGTTTGGATGATGTTTTGGGCTGAATTGAGGTCCATGTAATGAGCTAAAGGCCTAGCCCAATTAATAGGTAGATTGGGCCTAAATCAAATGGGTCAATTATGATGAAAATTTGGACCTAATTTTGTATTTTAAAGATTAAACTACATAATTAGACATACTTAACTACTATATATACATATGTTACCTATAGTTTAAAAATATTACTCATAATACCACTTTTTAATAATTATACCATATATTTAAAAATTAAATCAGATACACAAATCCCTTAAATATGGTATTGAATAATTATCCTAAAATTTAAATCCCCTTAACAATTCAACCTCCTTCAGTCTCCTCCCCCAACAATATCTCTCCCCCCACCCCCACCCAGCCCTTACCGGATTCCACCCTCAATCCGGAAATGACAAACTTTGCGTTTTCATATAACCGCATTATGAATGTAATGTTGTGCACTATCTTCTTGCTTAGAGTGTGATTATATCTTTGGTATAACATTTTAGAAGGCAAAAAGGCAACCACCCTTCTAAACAAGAATTTTCTGTACTTCTTCTTTGTTCTCTACTTTTTAGGCATTTCTTCTTCTCTGCAATTCTTCCAATTACTTGTTTCAGTTCAATTTACATTAAATACTTCCTCCTTACTCCGACGAGTCGTTGAACGCCGATGAAGCCATGTGCAGCCATTAATGATTCAAGTTGATGAAGAAGAGATGAAGAGGTTAATCCAAATTAATAAATCGTGTATCTCGGCTTGAATACATGTATCTCGTCATTAATGATT